GGAGCTGACAGCAGGAGGAGCTGTCACCCTACCCCACCCCCCACACACCTGTCGGCCCAGCTGTGCTCAGCAGCGGTTAGAAGACTCAGTCAGCCCTGCTGAGCATGACCTCACCACCAAGTGTTAAATTAAGCCCTTAAGTCAAGTTGGGGTGACTCGGGACAGGGGAGGAAGGAAATGGGCCCAATGGCCCCCTGAACTTTTGTCAAGGAAGATGGTGAGCTTGAATTTTAGCTGTGGGACTGTGTATTTCCTGAATGCCTACTGTGTGCTGAGCCACAGACTGAGAATTTTACAGATGATTCCTTCTCAGTCTTTACAATAGCCCTGGAGATATTTTCTGCCGCATTTTGCAGAGGAAGAAACCAAAGCTCCTAGAAGCAGAGCATGTTCCCAGGTCACACAGTGAGCCTGAGAGGAGCGGGAGACTCCAGCTGGCTCTCTGACCTGTGTCCCAGTGCCCCAGTGCCCCTGCCCTGCCCCTGCCCAGCCCTAACCAGAAAGGAGGCCCTTTCCGGGCTGTGAGGCTCTGGGCCGGGTTGGGGCCAGTCGTAAGGAGCAGATGGGTCTGCGGTTTGATTTCCCCAGCAGGTGTTTCCCAAGCTTGGTGGGGGATGGGGAGGGGCAGCAGGGGCCTCAGCTGCCTGTCCTTAAGACACTGGGGAAGGCTTATTGTCTGCTTCTCAGCAAAGAAAGAATAGCTGAATGTCTCTTGAGGGGACTCTGGATCCCTCAAGCCAGAGCCTGATCATGAGGGTGGGGTGTGTTTGCACTGTTTCCCAGTGTGGGTGCCTCCCTGGGGTGGGGCACCAAGCCAGGAAGTCCCTAGGGTCTGGGCGGATGCTAGGCCACACCCCGATAAGGACCAGCTGTGGGGCTGTGATGGGCACCAGCTGGCTGGGTCAGCTGTTTTTTGCAGAGGGGCTGGTCCCCAACCTGATGTGGATGTGGTTTAGGCCTCACCTACTACTTCCTCCTTTTATGTCTTCTGGGCCTAGGGTTGGGAGTAGAGGCAGCCTTGGGGCCACAGTGGTTAGGAACCCTGAGCCTCTGGCCACACAGGATTTGGTAGGGCCTCCAGTGCCTGAGCCTCAGAGATGGGATTTTCTTTTCTTTTTTTTTTTGGGGGGGGGGGGGGTATGAAATTGAACCCAGGAGCACTTAACCATTGGATCCTTTTTATTTTATTTTTTTAGTATTATTTTTTTAGTATTTATTTTTTAGTTATCGGCGGACACAACATCTTTGTCTGTATGTGGTGCTGAGGATCGAACCTGGGCTGCACGCATGCCAGGCGAGCGCACTACCGCTTGAGCCACATCCTCAGCCCCTTTATTTATTTTGAGACAGGGTTTTACTCACTTGCTTGGGGACTTGCTAAATTTCGGAGGCTGGCTTTGAACTTGTGATCTTCCTGCCTCAGCCTCCCGAACTGCTGGGATTACAGGTGTCTGCTACCATGCCCAGCTCAAGAGTGGGATTTTTATTTGCCCTCAGGAAACAGGACATCCCCCTTCTGAACAATTACCTTTCAGGTCATTGATATTTCCTTACCAGTGAGTGTGGCCATGCTGCACCAGGACTCGTAGCAAACTGGAGGTAGCTGCTAGTGGCCTCTGCACCTTAGCCCCAGGTCAGGGAAAGTCTAAAGAAAGGCTGATTCTTACTGCACCTCTCTCCCTGTCTCTCCAAGGCCAAAAGGAAGCTGGACCTGGAGGGAATCGGGAGGCCAGTGGTTCCGGAATTCCGGACTCCCAAGGGGAAGTGCATTCGAGTGGATGGCCTCCCCAGCCCCAAAAGTAAGAGCTCCCGATGGGCATCTCAGGGTGGGGTGGGGGGGCAGAGGGCAGCTACCTTCCCCAAATCATCAGGAGCAATATTTGCATTTTCCGGTTTATCAAGGTTTCCTGTGTGTTCTCCACTTGATCCTGCCTAAGGCAACTTGAGATTCAGAGAGCTCAAGTGACTTGCCCAGGGTTACACAGCTAGTAAGCAGAATCAGGACTAAAGTCAATGGAAGTCCTGGCACTGCTTCCACACCACATACTGTTCCCTTGTGCCAAATGGGATGCCCGATGCTTTGAAATACTGCTATTTTTTTAAGTTTTTGTATTTAGCCCGGCGTGGTGATGCATGCCTGTAATCCTAGTGGCACTGGAGGCTGAAGGCAGGAGGGCTAAATATGATTCAAGGGGACACGAAGCTTGGATCAATCTAGCCTCTGCCACCTATGAGGTTTCTTTTGTGTTTGTTTTTGGGTACTGGGGATTGAACTTACCGGCACTCCACCACAGCCCCAGCCCTATTTTGTATTTGATTTAAGAGACAGGGTCCCACTGAGATGCTTAGCACCTCACTTTTGCTGAGGCTGGCTTTGAACTTGCAATCCTCCTGCCTCAACCTCCCAAACTGCCTGGATTATAGGTGTGCATCACTGCACCTGGCTTGGGTTTTTTGTTTTGGTACTGGGGATTGAGCCCAGGGACACTTTATTTTGAGACAGGTCTTGTTAAGTTGTTTAGGGTCTCGCTTAATTCTGAGGCTGGCCTCGAACCTGTAATCCTCCTTCCTGAGCCTCCCGAGTTTCTGGGATTACAGGCATGCACCACTGTGCCTGGCTACCAGTAAAGTTTTTAAGATCCTGAGAGTGCCCAGATGGAGACTTCCAAAAGCTAAATTAGAGGGGATTTCAGTCTCTTGAGATTTCAGTGCATAGTCTTGTTAAATTGGCATTTTAAGCAAGTGTTTGTGAGAAATACTAGTTTTTCCAGAGAAATAATGAAAAAGGTATGTAACTAGGTGTGTGTTAGTCAGCTTTTTGTCACTGTGACCAAAATACCCAACAAAAACAATTTAAGGGAGGAAAAATTTATTCTGGGCTCATGGTTTCAGAGGTTCAGTCTATGGTCAGCCCACTCCATTGCTCTGAACCCGAGGTCAGGCAGAACATCAGGGCAGAAGGGTGTGGTGGAAGGGCACTGCCTGGCTCATGACAACCAGGAAGCAACTAGAGAGAAAGGGGAAGTGGCCACAGGGAAGGTGAACCCTTCTAGGATGTGCTCCCCGTGCCCCACCTCCTTCAACCACACCCTGCCTACCTACAATTACCACCCAGTTAGTCTCTTCAAACTGGGATGGACCGATTGGGTTACAGGTCTCACAAGCTAATCATTTCACATGTGAATATTCCTGCATTAACACAGGAGCTTTGGGGGGACACCTCATATCCATACCATCATAAGGTGGGTCATGTGAGGAATCTGAGCATCCAGGCAGGGCTCTAACTTGACTGGTCACTCTTCTTCTGTGAACCTTAGTCATCTTATCTGTAAAATGAGATATTACTAGATCAGGAATGATGTGAAAGGTTCCTCTTCAATTGATTGGTAGAGGCTGCCCAGAGCACTGTATTGAAGGATTCTAAATTCAGCAGGATTAGTGAAAAACTGTGCTGACCAATTAGCGATGTCTGCCATGAGCACAAAACCTACTAAAACAGTCTGTATGCCAAACACGTGCTACCTGTGCATTAAAGAATTCTGCAGTCCCCTTCCCCAGGAATCTGAGGCTCTCTAAAATTCAGGTTCCAGAACTAGTTTGACCACTCTCTTGCTATGTGACTTGTAAGTCACTTGATTGCAAAAGGCCCCTTATGGTTTAAGATGCTGCGGCTGAGATATGGTCTTGTGACATCTATTTCATTGAGAAAGGGATTTTTTTTTTCCATGAATTGCCCTATTTGGTGTTATATGACTGATTCCCTCAGATAACCACTGGGCTACCCATGGAAAGAGAAGGCCAATGTGTGTCTATAAAAATGATCTCAAAGGGCTGGGGTTGTGGCTCAGTGATAGAGCGCTTGCCTAGTATGTGTGAGGCACTGGGTTCGATTCTCAGCACTGCATATAAATAAATAAAATAAAGGTCCATTGACAACTAAAAAAATATTTTTAAAAAATGTTCTCAAAGTCAGGTTTGTCTCCAGGCACAGTGGCACTTGCCTGTAATCCCAGTGACTTTGAAGACTGAGGCAAGAGGATTGCAAGTTTGAGGCCAGCCTCAGCAAATTAGGGAGACTGTGTTTCAAAATACAAGAAGGACTGGTGCCAGGCGTGCTGTAATCCCAACAGCTTGGGAGGCTGAGATAGGAGTATCGCAAGTTCAAAGCCAGCCTCAGCAACAGTGAGGTGCTATGCAACTCAGTGAGACCCTGTCTCTAAATAAAATACAAAATAGGGGGGTAAGAAAAAAAGAAGGACTGGAGTGTTGCTTAGTGGTAAAGCACTCTGGCTTTACTCCCCAATACTGAGAAGGAAAAGAAAAAGAACCCCAACAAATTCAGGTTTGCCATTCTCTCCCTACAGTAAATTTAAATTCTTGGCTTAACTGGTAGGATAGGGTAATGGTTAGGAAGGAAGATTGGAGCCAAACTGCCTGCATTAGAATTCCAGCTTCTCCACTTTCTAGCTCAGGGAGCTGGTGACTTAACCTGTTGGTGTCTTTGTTTTCTCGTCTACATCATGGGGATCCGTGCACACCAACCTGATGTGTCCTAAGGATTACCTGTATTCACGTATGGAAAGTGCTGGCCACAGTGACCTGCACATAGCAAGCAGCCGTAGTTGATACAGCTGCCCTGAGCTGTGGTGGAAAGGGGCTCTTCCAGTCTGGACAGTTCCCCCTGATACCTACTATTTTGCTAGGTATCAGTTTCCCTGCCTGAACGAGAGCGGTGAACAAGTCGCTACCTCACAGTGTGCTGTGGACTGGAAAGTGGGTGACAGAGGGTGGTACTTAGTGGGTGCAGATCGGTGGAGAGTCCCCAGGCTGGTCCTCCCGGAGCTGTGAGTGGGCCTCTCTCCTTCTCAGCCCCCAAGTCCCCCGGGGAGAAGACTCGGTATGACACATCGCTGGGGCTTCTCACGAAGAAGTTCATTTACCTCCTGAGCGAGTCTGAGGATGGGGTCCTGGACCTGAACTGGGCTGCTGAGGTGCTGGATGTGCAGAAGCGGCGCATCTACGACATCACCAACGTGCTGGAGGGCATCCAGCTCATCCGCAAGAAGGCCAAGAACAACATCCAGTGGGTGTGAGTGCCTGGGCCGGGCGGGTCAGCACCGTCCAGAGGGTACACTGCAGTGGGCGGAGCCAGGGGCAATAGCCAATGGGTGTGATTATCAGGGGTGGGCTGAAAGGAACATCCAATGGGCGCAAGGGCAGGTTAACATGTTAGGGGCGGAGCCAAAGTGTCTGAGCGCGGGATGGAAGAGCGCTAGTGCTTGCTGGAGTGATAGAATAAGGGTGGGGACAGTGGAGAAAGATTGCTAGGAGGTGTAAAGGTCTGCAAGGACCCCAGACCCTTCCTTGTGTCAGGGATATCAAGATTCCCACCTCTTAGTTCGGGAAAGTCCCCTGGGCGCTGAGTAGGCGTAACCCACTTTGCTCTTCCCAGTCTGTAAGGTCTTAAAGGACAGACCTGCAGCCCCTGGCGTGAACCGTAAGAAAGCCCTAGCAGGGGCGGCAGGACTGAGGCCACTCCAGTTCATTTGGGAAAGGCTGGAGCACAGGGATGGACAGAATGGAGCGCTCTCCAAAACTGGCAATCAGGCCTTCACTTGTTCTCCCTCGCCCATCCTCAAGCCTCGAGTTCCAATCCACAGCCGTTCCCTGGGAGTGTGCATGACCGCTAATGTGCACAGCCCAGGGGGACACCCTTGCTGGCTGTGTGACCAGCCTTGTCCTGGAGTTTTGCCCACTCCGCTGGTGCGGCTCCGTGCAGCTCTGGGGTTGGGGCTCCCTGGATGGGGTTGATACTGACACTGGAGACTGCTCTGTTCCCAGAGGCAGGGGACTGTTTGAAGACCCCACTCGACCTGCGAAGCAGCAGCAGCTTGGGCAGGAGCTGAAGGAGCTGATGAGCAAGGAGCAGGCGTTGGACCAGCTCATCCAGAGCTGCTCCCAGAGCTTCAAGCACCTGACCGAGGATAAAGCCAACAAGAGATATCCTGTTTGCGGTGGGAAGGGGTCGGGCTGCCTGTTGACAGCTGTTCAGGTGTTGCAGCACCTCCCTGCAGGGATTGATTCTGTCGTCCTAGGGGTTCCATAGATCTGTTTCTTCCTTTCTTAGGCTTTCTTCTCGAGCCTATAAAAATTACTTTCTCATTAGAAATAAGCCAAGTGGGGCTGGGGTTGTGGCTCAGCGGTAGAGCGCTTGCCTAGCAGGTCCAAGGCCCTGGGTTCGATCCTCAGCACCGCATAAAGATAAATAGAGATATTGTGTCCAACTTAAAAAAAAAAAATAAGCCAAGTGCATTTCTAAGTTGCTGATCCTGGCCTGGAACTCGGTGATCCTTCTGCCTCAGTCTCCCAAGTAGATGGGGCCACAGGCAGGAACCACCATACCAGCTAGTACATTCCTTTGAGTCTAGAAAACAGAAGTGAGCTTCCACCTTCATGTAGCCATTGTTCCTTCACTCTTGAGCTGTGTGTGTTACTTCAGCAGTTGTGTGCCCCTGTACATTGTACGTGTTATCTAGGTTTTCTCCACTTGGTATATCTATTACCATAGATATCTTTCTATGTTACATATCCTTCCTAAACTGTTTGGCTGACCCATGTGAAACCTTTGGTATTTGACCACTTTTTAATCTTTGAAGAAGAAATTTCATATGGTTCAACTTATTTATTTAGGAACTGGGGAATTGAACGCAGGGCTACTCTACCACTGAACTACATCCCCGGTTCTTTTTAATTTTATGTTTTGATTTGTTTTGGTTTGGGTACTGGAGATTGAACCCAGGGCCTTGCGCATGCAAGGCAAGCACTCTACCAACTGGGTTATATCCCCAGACCCTTAATTTTTTGTTTTGAGATGGAGTCTTATTAAGTGGCTTAGGGCCTCACTAAGTTGCTGAGGCCGGCCTTGAACTTGTGATCCTCCTGCCTCAACCTGGAATCACCTGGGATAAAGTAGCATTTTAAGATGATTTTTTTTTTTTTCTCTCCATTTGCTTTCTAATGGGATTCAGGGTGGCTTGTGATATTGAAGAGCAGAGGATGCTTTTGAGGTATTTCTGAGATGTTTAAAGAGTTTTGAGAAGGTGATTTTTGGAGGCTTTGGAGAGGTGGGTGGAGGCCCTGACTGGGGGACTGGAGGTGTGACTTCTGACCAGGCAGTTACTTTTCTTGACTCTCCCTGCCCCTACACTGGCCTATGTGACCTACCAGGACATCCGCGCCATGGGCAACTTTAAGGAACAGACGGTGATCGCTGTCAAAGCCCCTCCACAGACGCGGCTGGAGGTGCCCGACAAGGCTGAGGTGAGAGGGCGAGCATGCGATGAAGAGCCAAGTGGGACGGCCCAGGCGGCTCTCTGGACTCTGTCCCTGGCACTGCCCAGCCCCAAGTTATGCTGCTCCATGCTGGTGCCCACGGCAGTATTGGTAGCCTCCAAGCTGGGGCAGAAATGGCAGAAGCTGGAAAGGGCAACAGAGACAGAATTCTAGCCTGAGGAAATCTGTCCCTCCAGAGGCTCTGTTCTGTCTGCAGCCCACCTGCCCTGGGTTCCTCCTCATATGCATGTGTGGGCCCACATGCCACCATGTTAGTACTCACAAAAATTCTTTCCTGCGGACTGTGTGCTCCCAGGTTCAAGATTAAAATTTCTGTGTGTGTGTGTGTGTGTGTGTGTGTGTGTGTTTTGGAGATTGAACCCAGGGGTGCTTTACCACTGAGCCACGTTCCCAACACTTTTTAAAATTTTGAGACAGGGTCTCACTAAGTTGCTGAGACTGGCCTTGAACTTGCTTGCATTCCTCCTGCCTCAGCCTCCTGAGTAGCTGGGATTACAGATGTGCACCACGGTGCCTGGCAAGATCAAAATTCTTAACTCTCCCTATGAGGTATCTGATGCCCTGACCCCAGCTGACCTGCCAATCTCGGCTTCCATGCCTGCCCCATCTGCCTTTGCTTTGGCCACAGTGACTTATGAGCAGTTTCCTACCACACAAAGCACATCTTTATGCAAGACCTTCACACGTGCCATTCTCTGCAGCTGCAGTGCTCCTCTCTCTGCCTGGTTTTCTGCTACTTATCCTCAGGTCTCAGCTTGAACATGAGTCACTTCCTTGAGGAAGTGTTCCCTGGTCACCCTCTGACCTCATAGCCGCCTGTGCTTTCCCCAAACACTCACTCTCCATTCCCTGGGAGGTATCTGGCATGATGGCATGATCGCCTCCTGCTTCGTCTGTTAGAGTGTAGGCTTCATGAGAGAACAGTTTGTGCGCCTTGTGTCTGCAGCCCAGGGTCTGGCACATACGGAGGGCTCTACAAGGGATTTGATTGAAGGAAGAAGTGGAGGCTATAGGGTTGATTAAGGCCTCATTCCTCCCTTGGAGGAGCTCAGGACCTCGTGGGGAAGAGACTCAAGCAAACAGTGGTGCTGTCATTTGTAACTGAAGATGGGCTTCAAGGGCAGAATGTTCAGAGGAAGCATCCTGGGGGGTGACAGTTGAACTGGGTCTTAAAGACTAAGCAGGTTTTGGAGACTGACCATGTGCCTGAATGGAGTGTGTGTAGACACTCACAGGTTTTGTTTTTGTTTGTTTTTATTATATTTTTTACTTGTAGATGGGACACAATACCTTTGTCTTTATTTGTTTGTTTGTTTTTAATGTGGTGCTGAGAATCAAACCCCGTGCCCCACAAATGCTGGGCAAGTGCTCAGCCACTGAGCCACAACCCCCAGCCCGACACCCACAGGTTTTGTTGCAGGTGTGTGGTGGGGAAGGGCTGAGGCCTCGTGGCAGGACTGTGTCACTCTGCCTTTCCACGCTGCATCACAAGCTCAGCCACTTGAGCTGGGGAAGGGCGCTCCCCCAAAACCACATGACCTGAGGCTGGGGAGGGGGATTTCCCAAAGGAAAGCCAAGGTGCTCTTCCTGAAAACAGACCTGGGGTCTGACAGCCAGAACAGCGCCGCCCGCCACAGGCCAGGCAGGGTGCACGTGGAGCCCGGAGTTTGAGCTTCCGCACGTGGACAGTGGCAGCCACATGTGTCCCTGCAGTCACACCAACCCATACATTAGTGTCCAGCTGCCCAGGGCCATGAGCTGCCTTCTCTTCCTCTTCCAGGAGAACCTGCAGATATATCTGAAGAGCACCCAAGGGCCCATTGAAGTCTACCTGTGCCCGGAGGAGGTGCAGGAGCCGGAGAGTCCTGCCAAGGAGCCCCTCCCCTGCACCTCCGCCCTCAGCCCCAGCCCTGACTGTGCCCAGCCCAGCAGCAGCACTGACCCTGCCATCTTGGAGCTTGAGCCATCCTCAGGTAGGGCCCTCTGCGCAGAGAGACGGAGGTGGGGGAGCAGCTGGCCTTGGTCTCTTCTTCCGCGTCTGCCTTTGTTGGATGCCCATTCTCTCCAGCAGCTGGGGGTTGGGTTGCCTCCCCAACATATGTGCACTGCACTTTGTGCTGAGGAAGCACCGGGGCACCACTCACTGGGGAGCCAGTGCTGTTCCCAGGCCCAGGAGGGCTTGGATCTGAACCCAGCTCTGCTGCTTTCCAGCTGTATGCATTGGGCAAGTTATTGAAGCTCTGTTGGCCTTGACTTCATCATCTGTAAGAAGTTGGGCACAAGAATTAATGACAGCTAGTTCCTGGGGCCAGCCCAGGGCTCTCTCCGCAAGCAGAGAGTCAGTCAAGGAAGAGGCCCTTGGCTGGAGGGGCTCACCCTTGACTGGGAGGTGAGAGGTGCAGTTGGTGACACTGTTGGGACATTTCCAGGGAGCAGAGAGAGAGGGGAAATCCCCCGGAGGGTGGAAGGCCTCAGATGCGGAGCCAGAAAAGGGCCCTGTTGCAGAATGGCTTTTGTGTTACTGGCGCACACAGCCGGCTGGACCACCAGGATTCCTCAGGGCCACGTGAGCCAGTGGTTTACTGTTTGTTTTCTTAGGAGAATTCCTTCAGGTAGAACCCTAGGGTTTCGATAAAGGCAGAGCTAGAACTGGTCTGATGGGCATCTGGTGGGGTGTTCTGCAGAACGCAGGTTGGATTCCATTTCTCTAACTCTAAGCTTGACAGACTATTGCCTGCAGATCAGATCTGGCCTGCTGATATATGACCCATGAGCTAAGAATAGTTTTTATTTTTTATTTTTTTTCTTGTGATGCTGGGGATCAACCCCAGGGCCCTGTGCAAACTAGGCAAATGCTGTACCGCCTAGCTATATTCCCAGTGTTAACATTTTTAGAGTTGGGGAGGTACAACTGCGTTACAGAGACACAAGTGTCCTGAAAAGCCTAAAATGCTATCCAGTCCTGTAGAAAGTTTACTGACCCTGATCTATCAACCCTTCATTTTAGACGTGAGTAAACTAAGGCCCAGAGAGAGCAAGTGGTTTCCCTAAGGTCACACAGCAAGTTGATGGCAGAAATGAGACAAGAGCCATACTCTCACCTCTTCTCTAATGATCTCCCTTCTGTTTGTTGGCCTTGTCCGGGAGCCAGGCTTCTCCGCATGCCGGCCATCTGTTCCTCTGGGCACCTCCCCAGTGCCTATCTCCTACCCCAGGCTCGTGCCCCACCCTGTCTTCCCTCCTCCTGTTCTGCCTTCTCACTTGTCTGTTGGCATGCGCACAGTTCCCCAAAGGGAGAACCACCTGAGTGGTACAGCAGTGTCCCCCGAGACCCTGTGTAGAGGCGATGACCCCACAGTGTAAGGAAGGGCAAAGCTTTGACCTCAGTTCACAGGTCAAGATCTCAGGAGTCAAGGCTCACGGAGCACAGCCGGGGAGCCAGTCCTACTCCAGGTGGCTGGCGTGCAATGGCTACCCCTCACCTTGTCACCTGGCCTCATAGTCCTGTCCCTGTGAAGGTTGGAGGAGGAACACACACAGTCCGGGTTCTGTCCTGAAGTGGAGTCATTTTGAGGGCTCAGCACCAGAGGCCAGAACCAAAGTGGAGGCCACAGCAATGTTGGCTCTTGGGTCCTGGCCCTGTTCTGTCACCCCAGGGGGAACTGCCAACCCTCTGCGGCCTCCGTGACCCTCATCTTAGAAGGGGTGGGACAAGAGTTGCTCCTAAGGCCCCTCCAGGCTCTGACGCTCTGAGGAAAACCTCCAGGTAGCTGACGACACAGGGTCGGAGGCTGGGAGATTTGGGTTTGAGGCGGTCCCTCACCTCTGAGTGACTTGGTTCCTGTGGGAGAGTCACTTTAACTTCTCCAAGCCTCGGTTTCCAATCTCTGAAATAAGGACGCTTAAAATTCCCTTGGGGCCAGCTCTGGTGTCGTGCACCTGTGGCCCCAGCTTCTTGGGAGGCTGAGGTGGGAGGACTGCTTGAGCCTGGTGGTTTGGGCCAGCCTGGGCAGCACGGCACAACTCTGTCGCAAAACAGAAGAAACAAGGCCTGGCATGGTGGGGCACGCCTGTAATCCCAGGACACACCTAGGAAGGAGCCAGGTCCCACCTGTGACACAGATGTCCCCACGTCTTATCTCAGTTACTGCTTCTAGTAAGAGGTATGGCTGGGGTCTGAGCCCATGTCGTTCTTGTTCCCAAACCAGGCTTCTTCCTGTAAGAGCCCCAGTGGGCTGAACAGATGTTGGGGTTTGTCTGTGGGTCTTCCTTCTTTCTTTCCTTCCATCCTGGGGATTGAACCGGGGAGCCCTTCCACTGGGCTCCTTCCCCAGCCCTGTGTACTTTTTATTTGGAGACAGGGTCTCTCTAAGTGGCCAAAGCTGGTCCTCCTCCCTCAGCCTCCAAGTAGCTGGGATTACAGGTGTGCACCCTGTCAATTTTTTTAATTCAAATTTTATTGACTTCTCTGGGCCTGGTTTCCTCATCTGAAGTAGAGGTGACAGCATTGCCTCCTTCAGGGATGCGTGGGTGTCAGAGGAGGTGGGACTCACCGTGCCTCACCTGGAGAGTGGAGCAGGCCACCTGCAGGCCACCGCCTGGGCTTTCTGTAGGCCGTTGTTCCTCGGCGCCCTGCATTCCACCGTCTCCCCCTCATTTCACGGAGGATATGTAGTCACTGTCCTCCACTTTAGAGGTGAGAAATTGGAGGCTCAGAACCATACAGTCACTTGCCCAGATCACCCAGCCACTTAGAGGTGGGTCACGGTCTGCCCACGGTGCTGTGGTGTTTCCAAAGCTGACTTGGTCCGACCTTAAGGGATGACCGCGATGGCGCGGTTCTGAGATCAGACTCTATTTGACAGGCAGTTTCCGGGGCCCCATTCCACGTCCCTGTGTAGGAAATCACCGTCCTCCCTGAGAGGACACGGACATGGTGTGCCAGGAAGATGGCCAGTGTGGCTGGAGGGTGGGGTGGGGTGGGGGATGGAGAGGGAGGCAGGGCGGGATGGCACAGGGTCATTTCAGCCCTGACCAGAACCTGGGTTTTACTCCAAGCCAGAGGGGAGCCATTAAGGCTTTAAGTAGGAACACAGACTTCTGAGGAGGCTCCTGCCGTGATGCAGGTGCGGGGGCCCGACAGGGGCCCAGACCACAGCAGTGGGACGGAAGAGAAGGGCAGGGTGGGGACTGCGGTCGGTGTGGCCATGACCAGTCTCACTCCAGGACCGCAGGCTGGGGGATGGCAGGATCCTGGAGGCTTCTTGGCAGCCACAGGGCCACTGAGATCAGCTGGGGAGGAGAGTGCCACCAGAGGAGAGTCGAGGTGTGGAGGCCGGGGCCTTTGAGGGTTGGCAGGGGGAAGAGGAGGATCCAGCCAAGGAGACCCAGAGGAAGTGGCCACAAAAGGAGAGGAAAACCAGCGTAATCTTCCTGGGAGCCAAGTCCAAACAGAGCATCGGGTGCCTCCAAATAAGTGGAGGCCAGAGAGGGGCTGGGATGCGGCTCGGGGTGGAGAGCAAGGCCCAGTGAGGCCCTGGGTGCTGTCCCCAGCCCTGGAGGGACGAGGAGAGGAGGCCAGAGAAGAGAGCAGAGGATTCAGCAACATGGAGGCCATGGGTTCAGTGACCTGGTGAGGAGTAGGAATAGTGATGGAGAAGTAGAAAGCGAACAGGCTTCTCAAATACGAGAGGGAGTTTACAATGACAAGGAGCAATCAAATGGGCTAGGAGTGGGGCGGGGTCATGAGGCCAGGTACACTTTTTTTCCCCCTTCTTCAAGTTGGCCACTTTAACCATCTTCAAGTGCAGTACAGGGTTTATTAGCACATTCTTGCTTCTGGGCACCCCTCGCTGCACCTGCTCAAAACTAATCCATCCACAAGAACTCCCGCTCGCCCCTCCCCCACCACCATACACAGTCTGTGGTTTTGACTGTCCCGTGGGATCATGCGGTATTTGTCTTTTTGTGACTGGCTTATTTCACTTAATATAGCACCCTCAAGATTCCTCCATGTTATAGCATATGTCAAAATTTCCTTCCATTTGAAAAACAAAAATTTCTTTCCTTTTGAAGGCAGGATAATATTCCATTGTCTGTATACATGACACATTTTGCTCTCCGTCCATCTGTCAACAGATCCTTGGGCTGCTTCTATGTTTTAACTATTGTGAATATGTTTCCATGAGCATGAGTGGGAATGTGTCCTTGAGCCCCTGTCCCTTTTTTTTTTTTTGTGCCAGGGATTGAACCTAGGGGTGCTCAACCACTGAGACACATCCCCAGCCCTTTTTTAATATTTTTTAGAGACAGGGTCTCACTGAGTTGCTTAGGGCCTTGTTAAGTTGCTGAGCCTGGCTTTGAACTCTTGATCCTCCTGCCTCAGGCTCCCAAGATGCTGGGATTACAGGCCTGAGCCACCGCACCTGGCTCCTGCTCTTTTTCATTTTGGGGGGGTGGGGTACATATCTGAAGTGGAATTACCAAGTCCTACATCAATTCTATTTTTATTTATTTATTTTTTGTGGTGCTGGGGATCAAACCCAGGGCCTTGTGCATGCTAAGCATATGCTTTGCCACTGAGCTACATTCCTAGCCTCTCAGGGTTTTTTTTGTTTTTTTCTTTTTTTCATGGTACCGAGTCTCAGACCCAGGGTCTCATGCAAGTGGTCTACCACTGAGCTCCACCTCCGACTCTATTTTTAATTTTTTGAGAACTCACCATACTGGTTTTTTGTTTTATTGTTTTTTTACTGATTTTATTTTTTTAAATACACAACAGCGGAATGTATTACGATTCTTATTACACATATAGAGCACAATTTTTCATATCTTTGTATAAAATATGTTCACACCAATTCATGTCTTTATACATGAGACTTTTTTCTTGCATTACAATTCTTATTACACATTTATACCACAAATTTTCATATCTCTGTATATAAAGTAGGTGGACACCCAATTCGTGTCTTCATACACATACTTTGGATAATGATGTCCATCACATTCCACCATCCTTGCTAATCCCTTGCCCCCTCCCTTTCCCTCCCTCCCCTCTTCCCTATGTAGAATTCATCTGTTCCTCCTGTGCTCCCACTCCTACCTCGTAACCATGCTGTTTTCCATAGCAATTGGACCGTCCTACATTCCCACAGTGAAGCACAAGGGTTCTGGTTTCTCCATCTGCATCCTTGCTGGCACTTGGTATTTTTCTTTTTTGATAGTAGCGTCCTAATAGGTGTAAGGAGGTATATCATTATAGTTTTTTGTTTGCTTTGTTTTAAACAGTACCAGGGGTTGAACCCAGGGCTGTTCTAGGAGTCACATCCCTACCCCTTTTTATTTTAAGACAGCATCTCACTAAGTTGCTGAGGCTGCCCTTGAACTTGGCAGTCCTCCTGCCTGAGGCTCTTGGGTTGCTGGGATTACAGGCGTGCACCACCATGCCTGGCCCTTGTCCATCTTTAATCAGGTTTTTTTGCCTGTTGAGTTATAGGAGCACACTGTGTAATTTCTGGATAGTAATCCCTTACCCGATCATGATTTGCAAATATTTTCTCCCATTCTATGGGTTGCTTTTTTCACTCTGTTGATTCTGTCTTTGGTGCATAATATTTTTAATTTTTTGAGCTGGGCGTGGTGGTGCATGCCTGTAATCCCAGCATCTCCAGGAGGCTGAAGCAGGATCCCAATTTTGAGGCCAGACCTTGTCTCAAAATTAAATAAATAAAAAGGGCTGAGGGTGTAGGTCAGTGGTAGAGCACTTGCCTAGCATGTGTGAGGCCCGGGTTCAATCCTAGGTACTGCAAAAAATTTCTAAAAATATATACAAAGTTCAGTTTGTCTATTTTTTCTTCTAGTGCTTGTGCTTTTGGTATTAAACCACTGCCAGATCCAACATTATAAAGCTTCCATTCTGTGTTTTCTTCTAAGAGTTTTAAGTTTTAGGCCTTATGTTTAGGCCTTTGATCATTTTGAGTTCATTGATGTTAGATAAGGGTCCAGCCTGATTCTTCTGCATGGGGTATCCATTTTCTCAGCATCGTTTATCAAAAAGACTGTCCCTTAGGGGAACGTGCTTTTGAAAGTTATGAGTCAGGAGAGTACATCTGTGTACTGATGGGCAGGATCTAGGTGATGCTGGAAGAGGAAGTGATCTCGGAACAGGGCCTCCAAGTGAGAGGCGGTGGGCTGGGTGTCAAAGCTGGGGGTGGGTTTTGAGAGCGGAAACGCCACCCACCAAAGGTGAGGGCGAGAGCTGGGGGGATGCTGGAGGTTTCTGGAGTGGGGAAGGCAGGAAGGCTGTCCCGCCTGCTCGGGTCTAGGCATGACCTCTGTCTCTTTGTCTCCAGAACCAGCGCTGACTCCACCACAGGTGCCACTGCCACCGTCACCATCCCTTGTCCCCTTGGAGGCCACCGACAGCATGCTGGAGCTGTCGCACCCACTTCTGCAGCAGACCGAGGACCAGCTCCTGTCCCCGACCCTGGCGTGCAGCCCCCTGATCAACTTCTCTCCGCCCCTGGACCAGGATGACTACCTGTGGGGCTTGGATGGGGGGGAGGGCATCAGCGATCTCTTCGACTCCTACGACCTTGGTGACCTGTTGATTAATTGAGGGGCCGCAGCAGCCCACCCCCATCTCTACCTCCTTGCAGACAGACTGACAGGTCCTCTGCCTGCACAGGGACATTGGACACAAGGTGCCACCCTCAGGGCATGAGAGTCTCCTCTCCTTTCTGACCTCCCTGCCAGCAGAAGCTGTCTGGGGACAGGTGGAGGGTGTGGGGGAGGGGCACATGAGGGGTTGGGTCGTGTCCTTCCTCTCTGACCTCTGACCTCTCACGTGAAGGACCACAGGTGCAGGTTATTAGGTTCAGGGAAAGGCCCCGCCACCTCCTTTTGGGGGGTCATTAGGACCCTTGATTTTCCAAGAAGCACTTAATGCCCTTGTATTTATTTCAGGTTAAGTTGTGTTTATCATTCTTCCTGAGTTTTAGCAGGGAGATTGTTTTAGTTTCTGGCAAGGCTTCTCCTCAGATAGGTCCATTCCCGCCCACTGTCCAAGGGCAGGCCTTCCAGGGGCCCAGACCAATTCCCGGGTGTCCCCACAGTGGTGGACACTGGTCTCTGAGGAGTTGTCCAGTTTACCAGAAATCTCATTGCACTTAGGCCTCATGATTATCACAAGTGCCAGGCCCTTGACCTCTCCAGCCGAGGTGTCAGCCTGGGACTCCTGGTCTTCATCTCACAGAAGGTTCCAGCGGCCATCTTGGGGCAGGCAGCTTTGTGGTTCCTGTGGAAATAGGAGCAGCTGGTCCAGGAGACTCCTTTCCTAGGGAATTCCTTACCTCTTCCTCACCTTAGAATGTAAAAGTGATCTCCCAGGGAGGCAGCAGAGAAGACTCTGAGGACAGACAGGAGTGTGCAGTGGCCGCTCTGGCTGCCGTGGACACCTGAGCCCGGGGAGGCAGAGGCAGGTCCACCAGAGAAGAGGAAGAGGCGGGAGCAGGGACCTGCAGGAAGCATGGCCCCGTGGCTGCTGGTGCCCTCCCCACTGTCCCTGGGAGCACGCACCTGTGTGCCCCATTGTTGAAGGGGATAATGTTTTAAGGACATCCCCTTCCCTCCAGTTCTCACAGATCTCTAAGGACAAAGGTGGCCAGGGCTTGGTGGCACGTTTGCTCCTTTGTGTCACTGTAATGCTGAAGGGGGCCTTCACGGCAGACCAGGCCTTGGCAGTTAACAAGATAGGTTTGTGTCACCCTTTCAGGCGTGGGGACTTGAGAAGCTCTTTTGGCTTTACCTGCCCAGTCCCCCAGGGGCCTGACCATCCCACCGTGGCCCTGCAGCCTTCTCACCCAGCCCACCTGGGCTGAACCAAGGCTGTGCCTTCTGGAGAGAGGCACCCAGGGGTGGTGGTCTGAAAGACCTTCCACCCACCCTCAGGGAGCTAGGGTTCCTCAGGAGCTCAGCTGGGCAGCACTTTTTTTTTTTTTTTTTTAATGTTTGTAGCATTAAGTTGATTTAAAATATGAAGTTGACTTTGTTGAGTTGAAGTTTGGGGTGTGAGCTTGAGAGTGGGGCCTTGGGCTGGGATGTAGCTCAGTGGCAAAGCGTCTGCCTTGCATTCGCAAAGCCCTGGGTTCGACCCCCAGTTCCAAAAAAAAAAGACAAAAAAAAAGAGAGTGGGGCCTAATGTGAGCTAATGCCCAGTTGGAGGCAGCTATGCTTTGTGGTTGGCTCAACTTCCTGGGCCCCCAAGTTAGCCCTCCCAGGAGTAGACAGCGGCTCACAGATACCCTTCTCTCATTTTGTATGCTTTATGGACATGGATTCGGTCTCCACTCCCCAAAACCTCACAGGGGTCTCATTAGAAGCCCACTGGAAGCCCGGGCTGGGTGTGGCTTTGGCCCCTTTCTGGGGGGTGAGGTCTGCTTTGGGGCAAGTGGGGCTGGAGGGAATGTTCCTGTCCCAAGGTCTCTGCTGGGCTGCCACTGAACCATGCACAAGCTCTGAGGACAGACACGCTTGACCTCCATGCCTTGGGCCCTGTCTGGAGTGTTCTTCTAGAATCAAATTGCAGAAAGGGAGAAGAGGCCTGCAGGACCCATTTGGAATGAGTCGAATGCTGAAGTGTGGCCAGAGTTTAAGCTCATGTCCCCCAGGCCCATCCACGGGGCTGGACAGAGGGCCTTCCTGAGCAGCGGCCTCTGCCCACTCCTGGGCTGTCCCCTTCACACCCTGCCTGAAGGTCGAGGGTTTAAGCCTCTTTCTTGCCAGTAACCCTTGAAACCTCCTAAATTCTGTAGAGCGCTTTGAGAACGCCATTTTGAGTGTTCATTTCCTTCCAGGGCCACATGAACTTTAAAACTAGGGCGAGAGAAAAGCCGGTTTCTTTCTGAAGTAAATGATTTCTGCCAGGAAATTTCTCAGCCCCACCAGCAGCCCCTAAGTCACTCATGTCCCCAGGGATATCAAAGGCTTGGGGACTCAGGGAACTGAGTAGCATTAAGTTGTTAGTAGACTTGAAGATTCAAAGAGCTTTCCTAACGAACACCACTGAAGGTGTCAGGATTCCCTTCTCCACAGTCGGTGGTCAGCTATGGCTGCAGGGAAGAGGGAGATGGCCGTGGGGTGGCTTGACTTTGTCCCTTTCCCAGCCTGTGGTGTTCTCAGCTTTGTTCTGCACAGTGTTTAGGGTTAGAGTGGATCTGGGTGCGCCAGGTACCCTAGTGTTGTGTGGCTTAGCGCATTTGAAGAGAAAGCCTTTGGGGTTGTTTGTAAATGTCTTCCGGGTTCTTGTCATTGTATCCTGAGGTCCTGCCTCATCCTGGGACCCCGTTCTCCCATGAGGGCCCTCAGTGACCAGGATGGCCACAGGCCCAGCTAGCCTACTGGCTGCTGGGCGACATGAAAAAGCCTTGCAACTGTCATTTGTCTTGAGGGTGAACTGGCCAGAGGGAACTTGGTCCCTGTGCCTGGGACTCCATGCGGGTCATTCACCTCTGGGCCATGCTCCCTGGGTCCTCCTTTTTGAGTACCAGCGGGGCCTCCTTGTGTTGAGATGTTTGGGCATTAAAGCATGGCAGCCTGGGAACTCTGGATGCTTGTCCTTGTCCTGCTTTCTGAGTTACACTCATTATCAACTGTGGGTCTGGTCCCCTGCAGGTGGGGGTGGGGTACTGTGCCAGGAGCATGTGTTTACCCGGCTGATTTCTCCCCAGAGGCAGCCTCCCCCCACCCCACCCTGGCTTATCTCCATACCTGAAATCTCAGCATCAAGACATCAAGAGGTTAGCAGCACCCAGACCTGAAATGTGACCGCCCTGCCTCCGTCACCCTCCCCTGGGCTATGCCAATGGTTTCCCTAATCTTCTCTTTGGTTTGATGCTCTCTTCCATATTGTCCTCTGCACCAGTGGTTCTGAGTGGAGTCCCCAGGCCTGGAGACAACTTAGGGGCAGGACCAGAATTCTGAGTCCTGATGAGCCCTCCGGATGGTGTTAGGGTAGCTGAAGTTTGAGGGCATATGCCCTCCTCTACCCAGAGAGCTTTCCAAAGTGTCCTCAGCAGGCCCCTCTACTTAATGCTCCTCTGTTCCCTCAGGAAGACCTTCGCTCCGTCCTTGACCTCACAGTCCACCCACCCTACCACTCCACCTCCCTTGGCCGTTCCTTCCCACCATGCACAGCCACACGGCCCTCAATATCCATGTCCCCTCTTGTGGGCCTGTACACACGCTCTTCACTGTACCCGGGATGCCCTGTGCTCCATTTCCACCAAGCAGGTGCCTGCTTATCCCCAAGGACAGGTTCAGGAGCCTTTCGGGTCTCATCATTAACATGTCCTCATTAGTGCTTCATATACAGCCTGGTTATTTATGGGTTATGGTCTGTTACGTGCTAGGCAGTGGGGAGATGGAGGTGAGACCAGCCCCCCTCAGCAGGCTTCAAGACAGAAGCGTGATTACTAATGACGAGACAGTGGGGAGGGGACATTAGGGAAGGCCTCCTGGAGAAAGTAACTGAGCAATGTCTTTTTTTTTTTGGTACTGGGGATTGAACTCAGGGGCACTTGACCACTGAGCCACATCCACAGCCCTATTTGTATTTTATTTAGAGACAGGGTCTCACTGAGTTGCTAAGCGCCTCGCCATTGCTGAGGCTGGCTTTGAATACGCGATCCTCTGGTCTCAGTCTCCCAAGCCGCTGGGATTACAGGCCTGCGCCACTGCACCTGGCCTAAGCAACGTCTTAGAGGGGACCCCAGTTCCTGGCAGAGCAATCAATACTTTCTGTCCTGTCTCGGCAGACAAGGACACTGCCTGCTGCCCCTGAGGAGGGACACTGACAGCTAAGAGCCAAAAAGAATGACCCAGAAAGCCGGCTGAGCCAAAAAGGTTGACACAGACCCGGAGGTCATTGGGGTCAAGGGGACCAAGTCTGGGGGTTCTGTCAGACCACAAAGACTAGCTGACTAAGGAGGAGGGTCTGGAATTTGACATTAAGAAGTCAGTCGCACAGAAGGCTTGAGGGTGAGCCCGTCCAGGCCAGTACAGCAGGGCCTGAGGTTGGGGCACTCACAGGACAGGGGCTGTGTAGCAATTAAGCCTTTGAGTTATGTCTGGGCCCAGCGCGGTCCTTCACACAACATCATCTCATTTAACACCCACAACAACTGTGTAGATAAAGAGAATCTGAACCAGGTAACCCTGATATGTCATTGGTGGGGATATGAGACGGTGCCAGCCACTTGGGAAACAGTTTGACTGCTCCTCAAGAAGATAGGCTGGGCACAGTGGTGCCCACCTGGAATCCCAGTGACTTGGGAAAATAAGGCAGGAGAATTGCAAGTTTGAGGCCAGCCTGGTGATTTATTTGAGACCCTGTCTCAAAGGCTGGGGATGTAGCTCAGTGGTAAAGTATCCTTGGGTTCAATTCCTGGTTACACCCCCTCCCCCCACACACACACCCACAGATAAGGGCTGGGGTTGGAAACTGGCTTAGCAGTGGAGTTCTTGCCTAGCATGTGGGAGGTACCCCAGCACTGCAAAAAGAAGGGAAAAAAAATGAAAAGATGCACAAAATAATCACAGGATTTAATAATTCTAGGGGGTCTACCTAAGAGAAATAAAAACAAGATTGCACATAGTGTTAACGGCAACATTATTCAAAATAGACCCAAACTGGAAAGACCAAAATATCCATCAGCTGGGAACAGACAAAATTATTAGGTCCATAAAGTGGAACACTATTCAGTCAAAAAAAGGAATGAAGAACTGATATAGACTACAATATGGCCCCCAAAATATCAGACTAAGTGAAAGAAGTCAGTCACACAAATCACATTATATAATGAAATTTATGTGAAATGTTCAGGGTAGGCAAACTAAGTATGCATGAGAGCTCCTAAGAATAAGTATGCAGGGTTGGGGTTGTGGCTCAGTGGTAGAGCACTCGCCTAGCATGTGTGAGGTACTGGGTTCGATCCTCAGCACCACATAAAAATAAACAAAATAAAAGCATTGTGTTCAACTACAACT